TGAGCCTGAGGGAGGTCAGTGTGAGGAGCCAGACGGGATAGGTGGCATGTGTGAGAGAGTGTTTCCATCCAGCGTCCTGAGGAGACCCTAGACACCGGGGCTGTTCCGTGTTGGGTTTGGACAGGGGCGTGGGGAGAGATCAGGAGTGGTGTTGGGCGTGGTTCAGTGAGGAATGTCTGGGGAGTAGATGGCCGTGGTGGGGACACATAGTGTGCGTGTCCTTCCTGTTAGCTAATGGCTAGTTCCCTGTTGTGGGAATGTCCTTCCCTGAAAGATGAGGGACAGGCTCATGTGCCGGGGTTGGTGCTGACGGTGGCAGCACTGGCGATGTCGAGTGGTTTAGATGGCAGTAGCCCGTGGCCCTTCCCTGTGGGGAGCTCTCCTGTCCCCCAACCAGAGCCTGAAAAGATGCTATTTGGGTGTACTCTCGATAGTAAAGACCTCCTGTGAAAAGTTTCTGGGAGGAGTTAAGCTGCTGCTGTGCTTTGAATACTCTTTTCCTTCTTTCTCTGAGAAGTAGAGTGAGACACAGAGAGGGAGAGACAGAGAGGTCTTCCATGTGCTGGTTCAATCCGCTACTGGCCACAGTGTCCTCAAATGGGCTAATCGGAGGCCAGGAGCTGAGAGCGTCTACAGGTCTCCGGCGGCATGGGTGCAGGGGTCCAAGGACTTGGGCCATCTTCATTGCTTTCGCAGGCCATCACCAGGGAGCTGGGTGGAAGTGGAGCAGCCAGCACACAAGCCAGTGCCCATATGGGATGCTGGCACCGCAGGTGGAGGCTTAACCTACTGCTCTACACTGCCGACCCAGGAGTGCAGCCACTTTCATCTAAGTTTGGGCTCAGGGTTTTTTTTGTTGTTGTTAAGATTGATTTATTTACTTCACTGGCAGAGTGACAGGAGAGAAAGAGGCAAGAGAGACAGAGAGAGGGAGAGAGAGAGGGAGAAAGAGAGACAGAGAGGTCTTTGATCCAATGGGTCACTCCCCAAAGGGCCACAACAGCCGGTGCTGAGCTGATCCAAAGCCAGGAGCCAGGAGCTTCTTCTGGGTCTACCACGTGGATAAGGGGGCCAAGTCCATGGCCCATGTTCCACTGCCTTCTCGTGTCTTAGCAGAGAGCTGCATTGGAAGTGGAGCAGCTGGGACTCCAACCGGTGCCCATATGGTATCTCGATGTCATAGGCAGATGTTCAACCTACTATGCCACAGCGCCGCCCCAGGATGTCGTCTTGTCCCTTCCCTTCCCTTCCCTTCCCTTCCCTTCCCTTCCCTTCCCTTCCCTTCCCTTCCCTTCCCTTCCCTTCCCTTCCCTCTCTTTTCTCTTCTCTTCTCTTCTCTTCTCTTCTCTTCTCTTCTCTTCTCTTCTCTTCTCTTCTCTTCTCTTCTCTTCTCTTCTCTTCTCTTCTCTTCTCTTCTCTTCTTCTTTTCAGTTGTTGACTTGAAAGGCAGAGTTGGAGGAAGGGACAGGGAGAGAGATCCAGAAGGATGACTCTGAATTGCTGATTTAATCTCCCAGAAGCCCATGCTGGCTGAGGCTGAGTCAGGCTGAAGCCAGGAGCCTGGAACACCTTCTGGGCCTGGCACACAGGTGGCAGGGCCGGGGGCACTTGGGTCAACTTGTGCTGCTCTGCCAGGTGTGTGAGCAGGGAGCTGGAATGAAAGCAGGGCTCCAGGAGCAGAACCGGGGTTCTGATGTGGGATGCCAGCCCTGCAGGTGGGGCTTTAGCCTGTGGGCCACAGCGCCAGCCCCATGGGCCTAGGTGGCGGAAAACCTTCCAGGGGTTCCTGTGAAAGGATGTTCTGCCTCTCAGGACCCCTGAATCAGAGAAGGGGGAATCCACGTTGTAACAGGTGCCCGAGTCTACCTTCCCGACCTCCATCAGAGCTCAGGATCCCTGTTGGAGGTGGCTTTTTCATGCTGTAGGTGGAATTGAGCTGTCCTGAGGGCACGTGCAGGTAGGGAGGTGACACTCAGAAGGAGAGGATGTGCAGGACTCGGGCGATGGGGAAAAGCAGGCAGAAACAAGGAATGATGGGAACGAGCCAGGCTGGTACTGGAGAAGCCTGTCCTGTGTCATGGTTGGCATGTGACACTGGGAAAGTCTTGCGGGCATTTAGAAGTGCGGGGCGGGTGAATACAGCAGAACATGAAGCCTGAGAGTGCAGATGACCCGGAGGGGAGGGGCCTGAGCGGGTCTCCTAGTCAGCATGTGGGGCAGTAGGTGGGCACAGGGCAAGAATGCTCAGGATGAGAGATGACTCTGAACTTTCGGAAAGCACTTTTGCATGCTGACCCAGGAGCACATGAATGTACCTGGGAAAAGTGACGCTGTCAATCTAGGCTTAGCACACCCAGGACGTACAGAGTGGGACGGGAAGCTAGCCGTGTGCTGTCACGTCCTGTGTGGCAGGTCGTTGGCAGGAAGAGCCTCCTGCATTCCCGAAAGCCCCAAGGGTGGTCGTGATCTGGCCTTGGGCTGTGGGCCTGCAAGGAGCCTGACCTCATTCCCTTGGTTCTGAATGTTGATGTCTCAGCTCAGCACCCTGCCATGGGCCCCCTCCCTGCGGCAGGCCAGTGTGGGGAGCACAGATCTCTGGTCTTCTCCATGCCAGAGCTGTGCAATGGAACGCCCAGGGACGCTGCTGTCACGTGCACCTAAGACCATCACTAACTGCAGGTGGACTGCGCCTGGGTTCCACTGGACAGGTGTGCAGGGCGGAGCATGGTGGTGATCCTTGACATGTTGCAGAAGGACTGTGGGGGGACAGTGATGTCACTGGGTGTGATGCAGGCCATTCCCAGGAACACACACAGGTCAGCCCCCCAGGGCCCCGGCTTCCTCCTCCACAGGCACCCCTCAGCCCTAGTAGAACATCTGAGGCATTCGATCAGAAAATCTTCAGGGTGTGATCTGTTGGAGAAAGTCATAGCGTTCCTGACCCCTGTGCTCCCTGCTGTGCTGCCCTCTTGCTGGCCCACAGGCCCATAGGGTCCCAGAGTCCGGGCTCCCGTGGGGAGGGGAGTCCTCTTCTGGGATCGGCACAGCCCTGACCTGGGCGGGGCCTCCCTCTCAGGGGGTTCCTCATCTGCCAATGGGAGTGAAGCCAGTGTCACCCCATGGCTGAGACAAGGTGCCTGGTGGACGTGGCCAGGGACCCGGAAATCCCAGGAGCTCGGGGAAGGAGCAGCCCCCGTCCTTGGGGACATGCTCTGTGTCTCCATCTTCCCAGCCGAGACCCACCCATGTGGCCTGCACAGCGGGCAGTCTGGGTCACGTGGGGTCCTGGACAAGGCCCCCCTGTCTCCTGTGCAGTGAGCACATCCCTGCTGTGATCCGTCTGTCAGTGACCCGTTGTTGAGCACAGGGCCAGAGCCTGTGACAGGTGTTGTTTGTGTGTGTCCCTGGACGGATTGTGTTCCCTCCGTGGAAGCCCCCAACCCACTCCCTGTGCACCCCTCATCCTGGAAGCTGGGGGCTCCCATTGTGTGCAGGGAGGTGCAGAGCATCGCATTCCCTGATGCGGTGATGGCTGTGGCAGGGCTGCCTTCCCATTGCACAGATGAGGACACTGAGGCTGCGGGGACAGCACCCCCGGCAGGTGCGTTCTGTGACCTCAGAGTCTGCGTCCCTGAGCATGAGGAGGCGCTGCCCCAGCCATGCCAGCGTCTCCCTGTTCCTTGCTTCCCTTGGCCTTCCCAGCGTGTGGTGCTCTTTGTCCAAACGGGGAACGTTGGCTCTGCCCCTGGGGAGGTGCCCGTGTCCTCTGCAGAGGATGCAGGTCCCGGGCATTGGAGCCATGGTGCAGGGAGAGTGGGGTGGGGAGGGCACGGCCTGGGGAGCTGGCACGGTGCAAATTGTACATTCCACAGTGGGTAACAACTTACATTTTATTGAGGTTCAGGGACAATAAGGTGGAGAAAAGGAAGAGAGTGGGGAGGAGTAAAGAGAAATACAGGACGACGGGGGCGGGGAAGGCCAGGTGTGGCACTGGGGCTGCAGCAGAAGGGACTTGCGGAGCTGGGGCTGAGGCCGGGGCCAGTGCTGCGTCTGGTGCCCCTGCAGCGTCCTCGGCTTCAGCTGCTGCGTACAGTCCTGGCTCCAGACCCTCCATCCCCAGAGCCTCTTCTCTCAGGGCCTCCCCTGAGCCCTGCTCGGCCCCCGGGGACACAGCTGTCCCCCGCGCATCCTTGTGGTGGCGCTGATCGATGGAGGACCAGCACTGCTCCAGCGGGGGTGTTGTTGGGAGATCAGGGCTCTGTGCCGCCCCAGCCGTGAGGTCAGGTGCCAGGCCCGGCCCTGACCCTGGGTCACGACTGACACAGGCGAAGTCAACGGGCCCTACTTCCTCCGCTGTGAGATGGGCATTTGCGGAGCCCCTGGGCTCTATCTGGGCTCTGACCAACAGTGTGTGACTGAGGGGGACGTCCAGTGGTTTCTGTGTGCCGGGGAACGCCCGGTACGGGGGCTTCGGAGCTGTGGGCTCGTTTGACCACTCCCCCACCACACACAGGTCATCAGTGAAAGGGGCCTGACACACGTCCTGCCTGCTGGCGATCCGCAGCCTTCTGTGCATTGCCAGGCGCGAGGCTGACCTGTCCTGGCCCTGGGAGACAAGAGCAGAGAATGGCAGGTAAGAGGCAGTCCCTGGATCCCTCCGCAGCCAGGAGCTCTGGGCCTCAGGCTGCCTCCACCTAGGACTTCCAGCCTCCCTCCTCTGAGAGGGAAGTGGCCCCTTGGCCCCCACACCCACACCCAGCCCCAGGGGCCTATGGGCTTCAGGTGGGTTCCCAGTGGTGTCCTGGCCCGCAGAGACCTGTCCTGCTTCCAGACTCACCATGGCCGTTTTCTGTTGGAAGCACCAGGAGCGTCGGGGGTGAGGGCTGGCCCAGCGTCCCCACCACTGGGCGAGGCACCCACCGCAGGGTTTCTTGGGGGCTGGGCTTGGGCATCGCGGGATACAACTCAGGAACATCTTCCTGCGAGACTCTATCCAGGTGAGCTGGTTCAGACTCAACTCTGGAATGTTGGGGTTGTTGCCGGGCCCCCCAGGTCTCCAGGTGAGGTCACTTCCTGTGGCTCCTCAACTGAGCCCCCTCCTCTCACACAAGATGGCTGCCGAATCCCAGCGGGCGCTGCCTGCTGCACTTCTAAGCCATGCCCTGTGCACACTGCCCCCCGTCGCACCAACAGGGGGAAGCCTCCGCCTGCCACAGCAGGTGTGGGTCCAGCCTTTGTCACAGCTGGGCTAGACCTGTTCCCCCCTGCTTGAGGGCTTCTCACCCTGCATGGTCATTGTCCCTGTCAAGACGCCCCAGCCTCCCGTGTGGTCCCTGGGGTCGTGTCCCAGTGAAGCTGGCGCCCTCAGCTGCCCAGCTGTGGACCCTGAGGAGCAAGAGCTCCCATCACACCCTGAGACCGACCGGGAGCCACTCCCTGTGCATTGGGAGCCCTGTCCCAGCCCCTGAAGTGTGGCTCCTCCCAGCCACAGGCACCTGGAGGGTGGTTCCTCTCTCAAAGCCCAAAATGAGGCTGCGACCACCCAGACTCAGTTGCCCTGTGTGCACCTGGGGCTGTCTGCTCTAGGGAGCTGATGGTCAGTGGAGAACCGAGTGCTCCTAGCTCTGGCCTGCACCCCGGAGGAGTCGTGGGGTGGTCCTTTGGGTCCTGCAGGATCTGGGGCTTTAGCAGTGCACAGTGGTTCTTGAAGCTCATTCAGACTCCCAGGGGAGTTGGTTGGGCTCAGGGCCGGCTCTCTGAGGACCAGGGTGATGACTACCGTGGCCCTGCACTTGCTGATTGTTCCCAGGGCTGGTAGGGATCGTGCCAGCCATCTCTGGGGTCTGGGCCTGCCATGAGCCTGAGGGAGGTCAGTGTGAGGAGCCAGACGGGATAGGTGGCATGTGTGAGAGAGTGTTTCCATCCAGCGTCCTGAGGAGACCCTAGACACCGGGGCTGTTCCGTGTTGGGTTTGGACAGGGGCGTGGGGAGAGATCAGGAGTGGTGTTGGGCGTGGTTCAGTGAGGAATGTCTGGGGAGTAGATGGCCGTGGTGGGGACACATAGTGTGCGTGTCCTTCCTGTTAGCTAATGGCTAGTTCCCTGTTGTGGGAATGTCCTTCCCTGAAAGATGAGGGACAGGCTCATGTGCCGGGGTTGGTGCTGACGGTGGCAGCACTGGCGATGTCGAGTGGTTTAGATGGCAGTGGCCCGTGGCCCTTCCCTGTGGGGAGCTCTCCTGTCCCCCAACCAGAGCCTGAAAAGATGCTATTTGGGTGTACTCTCGGTAGTAAAGACCTCCTGTGAAAAGTTTCTGGGAGGAGTTAAGCTGCTGCTGTGCTTTGAATACTCTTTCCTTCTTTCTCTGAGAAGTAGAGTGAGACACAGAGAGGGAGAGACAGAGAGGTCTTCCATGTGCTGGTTCAATCCGCTACTGGCCACAGTGTCCTCAAATGGGCTAATCGGAGGCCAGGAGCTGAGAGCGTCTACAGGTCTCCGGCGGCATGGGTGCAGGGGTCCAAGGACTTGGGCCATCTTCATTGCTTTCGCAGGCCATCACCAGGGAGCTGGGTGGAAGTGGAGCAGCCAGCACACAAGCCAGTGCCCATATGGGATGCTGGCGCCGCAGGTGGAGGCTTAACCTACTGCTCTACACTGCCGACCCAGGAGTGCAGCCACTTTCATCTAAGTTTGGGCTCAGGGTTTTTTTTGTTGTTGTTAAGATTGATTTATTTACTTCACTGGCAGAGTGACAGGAGAGAAAGAGGCAAGAGAGACAGAGAGAGGGAGAGAGAGAGGGAGAAAGAGAGACAGAGAGGTCTTTGATCCAATGGGTCACTCCCCAAAGGGCCACAACAGCCGGTGCTGAGCTGATCCAAAGCCAGGAGCCAGGAGCTTCTTCTGGGTCTACCACGTGGATAAGGGGGCCAAGTCCATGGCCCATGTTCCACTGCCTTCTCGTGTCTTAGCAGAGAGCTGCATTGGAAGTGGAGCAGCTGGGACTCCAACCGGTGCCCATATGGTATCTCGATGTCATAGGCAGATGTTCAACCTACTATGCCACAGCGCCGCCCCAGGATGTCGTCTTGTCCCTTCCCTTCCCTTCCCTTCCCTTCCCTTCCCTTCCCTTCCCCTCCCCTCCCCTCCCCTCCCCTCCCCTCCCCTCCCCTCCCCTCCCCTCTCTCTTCTCTTCTCTTCTCTTCTCTTCTCTTCTCTTCTCTTCTCTTCTCTTCTCTTCTCTTCTCTTCTCTTCTCTTCTCTTCTCTTCTCTTCTCCTTTCTTTTCTTCTTTTCAGTTGTTGACTTGAAAGGCAGAGTTGGAGGAAGGGACAGGGAGAGAGATCCAGAAGGATGACTCTGAATTGCTGATTTAATCTCCCAGAAGCCCATGCTGGCTGAGGCTGAGTGAGGCTGAAGCCAGGAGCCTGGAAGACCTTCTGGGCCTGGCACACAGGTGGCAGGGCCGGGGGCACTTGGGTCAACTTGTGCTGCTCTGCCAGGTGTGTGAGCAGGGAGCTGGAATGAAAGCAGGGCTCCAGGAGCAGAACCGGGGTTCTGATGTGGGATGCCAGCCCTGCAGGTGGGGCTTTAGCCTGTGGGCCACAGCGCCAGCCCCATGGGCCTAGGTGGCGGAAAACCTTCCAGGGGTTCCTGTGAAAGGATGTTCTGCCTCTCAGGACCCCTGAATCAGAGAAGGGGGAATCCACGTTGTAACAGGTGCCCGAGTCTACCTTCCCGACCTCCATCAGAGCTCAGGATCCCTGTTGGAGGTGGCTTTTTCATGCTGTAGGTGGAATTGAGCTGTCCTGAGGGCACGTGCAGGTAGGGAGGTGACACTCAGAAGGAGAGGATGTGCAGGACTCGGGCGATGGGGAAAAGCAGGCAGAAACAAGGAATGATGGGAACGAGCCAGGCTGGTACTGGAGAAGCCTGTCCTGTGTCATGGTTGGCATGTGACACTGGGAAAGTCTTGCGGGCATTTAGAAGTGCGGGGTGGGTGAATACAGCAGAACATGAAGCCTGAGAGTGCAGATGACCCGGAGGGGAGGGGCCTGAGCGGGTCTCCTAGTCAGCATGTGGGGCAGTAGCTGGGCACAGGGCAAGAATGCTCAGGATGAGAGATGATCTGAACTTTCGGAAAGCACTTTTGCATGCTGACCCAGGAGCACATGAATGTACCTGGGAGAAGCGACGCTGTCAACCTAGGCTTAGCACACCCAGGACGTACAGAGTGGGACGGGAAGCTAGCCGTGTGCTGTCACGTCCTGTGTGGCAGGTCGTTGGCAGGAAGAGCCTCCTGCATTCCCGAAAGCCCCAAGGGTGGTCGTGATCTGGCCTTGGGCTGTGGGCCTGCAAGGAGCCTGACCTCATGTCCTCTGCTGGTTCTGAATGTTGATGTCTCAGCTCAGCGCCCTGCCATGGGCCCCCTCCCTGCGGCAGGCCAGTGTGGGGAGCACAGATCTCTGGTCTTCTCCATGCCAGAGCTGTGCAATGGAACGCCCAGGGACGCTGCTGTCACGTGCACCTAAGACCATCACTAACTGCAGGTGGACTGCGCCTGGGTTCCACTGGACAGGTGTGCAGGGCGGAGCATGGTGGTGATCCTTGACATGTTGCAGAAGGACTGTGGGGGGACAGTGATGTCACTGGGTGTGATGCAGGCCATTCCCAGGAACACACACAGGTCAGCCCCCCAGGGCCCCGGCTTCCTCCTCCACAGGCACCCCTCAGCCCTAGTAGAACATCTGAGGCATTTGATCAGAAAATCTTCAGGGTGTGATCTGTTGGAGAAAGTCATAGCGTTCCTGACCCCTGTGCTCCCTGCTGTGCTGCCCTCTTGCTGGCCCATAGGCCCATAGGGTCCCAGAGTCCGGGCTCACGTGGGGAGGGGAGTCCTCTTCTGGGATCGGCACAGCCCTGACCTGGGCGGGGCCTCCCTCTCAGGGGGTTCCTCATCTGCCAATGGGAGTGAAGCCAGTGTCACCCCATGGCTGAGACAAGGTGCCTGGTGGACGTGGCCAGGGACCCGGAAATCCCAGGAGCTCGGGGAAGGAGCAGCCCCCGTCCTTGGGGACATGCTCTGTGTCTCCATCTTCCCAGCCGAGACCCACCCATGTGGCCTGCACAGCGGGCAGTCTGGGTCACGTGGGGTCCTGGACAAGGCCCCCTGTCTCCTGTGCAGTGAGCACATCCCTGCTGTGATCCGTCTGTCAGTGACCCGTTGTTGAGCACAGGGCCAGAGCCTGTGACAGGTGTTGTTTGTGTGTGTCCCTGGACGGATTGTGTTCCCTCCGTGGAAGCCCCCAACCCACTCCCTGTGCACCCCTCATCCTGGAAGCTGGGGGCTCCCATTGTGTGCAGGGAGGTGCAGAGCATCGCATTCCCTGATGCGGTGATGGCTGTGGCAGGGCTGCCTTCCCATTGCACAGATGAGGACACTGAGGCTGCGGGGACAGCACCCCCGGCAGGTGCGTTCTGTGACCTCAGAGTCTGCGTCCCTGAGCATGAGGAGGCGCTGCCCCAGCCATGCCAGCGTCTCCCTGTTCCTTGCTTCCCTTGGCCTTCCCAGCATGTGGTGCTCTTTGTCCAAACGGGGAACGTTGGCTCTGCCCCTGGGGAGGTGCCCGTGTCCTCTGCAGAGGATGCAGGTCCCGGGCATTGGAGCCATGGTGCAGGGAGAGTGGGGTGGGGAGGGCACGGCCTGGGGAGCTGGCACGGTGCAAATTGTACATTCCACAGTGGGTAACAACTTACATTTTATTGAGGTTCAGGGACAATAAGGTGGAGAAAAGGAAGAGAGTGGGGAGGAGTAAAGAGAAATACAGGACGACGGGGGCGGGGAAGGCCAGGTGTGGCACTGGGGCTGCAGCAGAAGGGACTTGCGGAGCTGGGGCTGAGGCCGGGGCCAGTGCTGCGTCTGGTGCCCCTGCAGCGTCCTCGGCTTCAGCTGCTGCGTACAGTCCTGGCTCCAGACCCTCCATCCCCAGAGCCTCTTCTCTCAGGGCCTCCCCTGAGCCCTGCTCGGCCCCCGGGGACACAGCTGTCCCCCGCGCATCCTTGTGGTGGCGCTGATCGATGGAGGACCAGCACTGCTCCAGCGGGGGTGTTGTTGTGAGATCAGGGCTCTGTGCCGCC